CCCATCCCATCCCATCCCATCCCATCCCGTCCCATGGAGAAGAAAGTTGGGGAAACGGCTGGTACCAGGAAGCAAAGTAACTGGACAGGCAAGAAAAGCCCCAGTTCTTCTTGTTTCTTGGAACTATGATGATGCAAATGGAGCTGGGAGGCATTTGAAGTGCAGGTTAGTAAGCCAAGGAGGGACAGGGAGGGGGGAACCTGAGGATCTCACCAATTCCTTGTGCTCCTCCGTGAGCCTAGCAGGCAAGGTATCCATGTATGAATCCTTCAGGGGCTTCCAGCCCAGCTGATGGGGCTCCATGTAGATCATCCCACACCTGCCAAGCACAAAGGGGTGAAGCAGGTGAGGGCATCATGGAAAAGTGAGGAGCTTGGATTCCAGGCATAGACCTCCTCATCAGCTCTAAACCAAAAGGAAGGTCCAGTAATGATATAGTTTATAAGAACCAGGTCTTTGAAGTTAAAGACATCATAATTCAAACTCAAACTCAGACTCTATTGAGGCAGGCTTCCTCATTTCTTAGATACAATTTATTAAATTATTAAATTTGAGAATATTCACAGGGATTATACATCAATTTAACAATTTTTACCTGTACAATTCAGTGATACAAAGTACATTCTTCAGGTTGTACAACTACTAACATAAACTCATTGCTGCTAAAGTTCTGATCAAATTTTTGAGGCTATTGCCATCAATTTGACTTCATGATTAGTTTCCTTTACTATCTCTGAATTTCTGTGTTCTTGTCTGTAAAATGAGGAATATAGCAGTATGTGATTCATAATGTAAGACAATTCTAGGGAAGAATTCAGCACCATGCCTCGCACATATTCATCGCTAGTAATTCAATGCTGACTCCGAGTAACAACATGAGACAGATGGTGGCCTAGTGGCAAGAAGCTGCACTGCAATCCCAGAGGTGAGCAGTTCGAATCCACCAGATGCACTGCTGGAGAAGGAGGGACAATCTCCTCCTGTTCCAGTCAGATCCAATTTGATGGTACACACACACACACACAATAATAAAAAAAAAAATATGAGACAGAGTAGAGCTGCCTGCTAGTTTCAGGCATTATAATCTTTACAGAAGCAGACAGTCCTATTTTTCCTCTCTCAAGACTTCTTGCAGGTTCTAATCACTTGTAGGTGAAAGGTTGTGCACCTGATCACTACACCATCAGTGATCCCTTGCCAGAACAAATAAAAGCCTTAATCAATGGTAGTATTTATCATAAACATCCATGTATTACACCAAAGAAACAGCCAAGCCATAAAGTGGAAGGATAATCAAGATTTAGACGTTAGAATGTTTATGTTATACTTTAAGAAAAACAAACATCTGCAAAGGGAAAATGCCAGCAAGGTTCCAGCAAACAGACTCCAGGAATACCTGCACAGAAGATGAGAGCACAACCTCCCCAACTTCAGCAACCACTAGGTTTACATATACTTTAAAAAAAAAACCCACAACTAACCAACCAACCAACCAACCAACAAAAATCAATGTATTGACACAAGCCTTCTATGGAACATACACCTTTGTTTTCTTATTCTTTTACTTGTAGACGATATCCTGTCTATTGTTATTGTTGTTAGGTGCTGTCTAGTCAAGGATGACCCATAGCAACTCTACGCACGACAGATCAACACCCTGTCCTATCCTGTACCATCCTTACAATCTCCACTAATGTTGGGGAAATGTTGGGGAGGAAGGGAGGGCCTCTGGCCAGGACAGATCGCCTAAGCTCCAGATAAATGCAAGCCTCCCAACGGCCTTTAATACGGGGTAGAGAGAGCTCTCCTGTGTTTGGCTATCCCGGCTTGAGAAAGCTCGCTACCTGGGAAGACAGCTGCCACGTCTGCTGAGCTGAGAGTGGTCCATGAGGCTGAGGTTCTCCTAACCAATCCGCCTGTCTCATGTCTGCAAGCCCACCCTATCCTGTCTTCCTGTTTACCTGCTTATATATAAGTGCGTTGCAGTCCTCAATAAAATTGAGCTGGATTGACTCTCTGATCCTCTCCCGGAGTGGTGTGTCTCTATAGTGCTTGACCCTATCAGGGTGTCGCTATTGGTTTCCGGCAAATGGACAGCAACACACTAGGGTCAAGGCCACTGTTGTTGTCACTGTGCCAATCTACCTCCTTGAAGGTATTCCTCTCTTTCATTGACCTTCTACTTTTACCAGCATCATGTCTTTTTCCAAAGACGGGTGCTTCCTAACAATATGTTCAAAGTATACGTGACAAAGTTTCATCATTCTTGCCTCTAAGGTGCACTCTACCTACACTTTCTCCAAGACAGATTTAGTCATTCTTTTAGCAGTCCTTGGCATATTTAACACTCTTCACAAACACCGCCATTCAAGGCATCAATTCTTTTTTTGGTCTTCCTTACTATTGCCCGAATTTCACATACATACAAAGCAACTGAAAAGACGATGATGTTAGCCAAAGAGCTCTGATACTGTAGTCTGTAAGACTGTGCTGTTAACCCAAAGGCTGTGTCTCTCTTGCAGTTCACAGTTCAAATCCAGTAACAGCAATATGGGAAAGAAAGATGAGTAATCTCTCTGTGAGATATGTTGTTATAGATGTCACCAAGTTGATATGACTCATAGCAACCCTATGAACAACAGATCTGAACCATGCCTTATCCTTACAATCTCTGATATGGTAGAATCCGTTGTTAGAGCCATTGTGTTAGTCCATTTAGTTGAGGATCTTCCTCTTTCGCTGACCGATGAAAACTCAATGGAGGGTCAGTTATGACTGGGTTCAGACTCTACAGCAATGAGCTTGAGAGTTTATTTTTTTAGGGAATTAGATTTTTGTGCATCCCATAAGGCAAGGTCTATGTATATAATTGCCACTTATGGTTCAAAAAAAGGAACAAATAACTGACTGAGGGGTATTTTTGGGTTTCCCCCTCTTTTTTTTCCCTTTCTTTTTTGCCACTTTATTGTTTGTCTTCCTTTTGTTTACAAATAACTGATTGTAATGAAGTTTATAGTCCTTGGTTTTAGTCCTAGGTCCATGATCCACCTTGAGTTGGTTTTTGTGTATGGAGTGAGGTGTGGGTCTTGCTTGAGTCTT